ATATATATATATATATATATATATATATTTTTACTGCCCATAATAAATATGTATGTGTATGTGTTTTATTTAAGTTGTTTTTTGAAAATAAATTTATTTATTATCTCTACTCGGAAAATATCCGCTGTTCATTAATTTTCTAGCAACATTTTCGTGATTTTCTAAAATTATAATTAGGCACATACATACACAGATATATGTATATATAAATATCTTATATCTTAAAATAGAATACTTGTGTCCACAAAGCAAATATCAAAATTTAACCAATTAAAAGCCAAAGCTTTGCGCGGAAACTCAACTAAATTATAGAAAATTGTTTGGCAAAATTATTAAAGAAGTGTGTGAAATGTAGAAAAAGCTAAAGCGCAGCAGCTGCTTTCTTAGCCACTACATAAATTAGCTGTCAGGCCAAAATGGCACTCGCTTTATGGCCAACTCACACACAGACACACACACACACACACACACATGGCCACGCCTATGGCCCCCTACCTCCCATGGCTGCCATAAAGAAAAAAAAAAACAACACAAAGACAAGTATTTAATTTTGTAGCGAGAAGCTGACAAACTGAGAAATACAAGAGGGAAGAAAAAAAAAAATACATTGCTGAGCAATCAGAGAAGTGGCTGAGAGGTGGCCTAGGGGTGCGGGGGCAGAGGAGGAGCAGCAGAAGACACAAGGCAGCACATAAATAAAATGAAAAATCTACTGCCAGCCAAATGCAGTTGAGTCCAAAAAGCGAGCAGCTGTAGCTGTAGCTGTAGCTGTAGCTGTAGCTGTACATGGGCAGTAGTTGCCTTGGCACTTGGTTACCTCTCGATGCTCTGCGGTGCTCAGTGAAGTCCTCCCCTATGTATTTACTAGCATATATACTAGGCATTAGGCACATAATGTAGGCTACCGGGCGGCGGAGTCTTTTGGCTGAGCGCATGCGCTGAGCGAGAGGCAACTCCCTAGCTGTCCCACTCTGGCACTCCCTCACCACCAGCTCTCTCCCTATCTCTCATTCTGTAACTGTCTCTCTCTCTCTCTCTCTTTCTCTGTCGCTCTCCTCCTCCTCTGGCTTTCTCTGTGCTGGTAATAAACCAAGCAATGCCAGCAAAATTATAAAGTGCTTGGCTGTGCTGGAATTCTTGAAATGTAAATATAATGAGCAAAAAATTAGCCAAGACTACGCCGTCACATCTCTCTCTCGCTGGAGCCCGAGGCCCAAACATGGTCAAAGCTAAATTTACTAGGCACCAATTAAAGATATGTCCAATGCGATATCATACTGGGGGATCACGGGGCGAACTGCTCGACAGGCTCCACTTCTTCGGCACCCATAAAACATGTCAAAAGCGTTTTTGCAGCCGCCTCAGCTACCTTCATTTTTTCTTCTCTTGCCACTCCCTCGTTTTTCTCAGGCGTTGGCCGCCTCTTCTACCTATCTTTTTGCTGTGGCCAAATTGCAAGCAAAAATTTGATGCAGTTTGTTAAAAAAATAAATCGGAACTCTTCAAAATCACAACAAACCAATTTTTAACAGCTTCGTTTTTGTCTTGGTTAGTTAAAGCTCTGCTCTTTATACTGTTGTTGTGTTTGTGTTGTCATGTGTGTGTGTGTGTGTTGTAATTGTTGTAGTTGCTGTCGTATTAATATGGTGTGGCACAACTATTTGGGTTTACTGCCGAGTTGACAGTGGGTTGAAAAAAAACGAGAGGTGAGGAGAAGAATTAATCATAATATTCTTTGATTAAAGAAAAGATATGAAACTAAACTAGAAAATATATACCATTTTTATAAATAAATATTATATATAATATAAAAAGCATCATATAGACGTACTTGTAATAAAAAAAAATATATAAATATGTGTATATGCATTTAAAATGAGCCAATACATAAAATTTACTAAAATATATAATTCAGTAATAAAAAAAATTAATAATAATTAAAAAATTAAATTTTAAAAATATTATTAAAAAAAGATATTGATATATTTTTAACATTTTTTTTATTTTTTGTTATAGATATATAGAATACATAGAAATTTTTAAAATGAAGTACAAATATCAACGAAATTGTTTTTACTAATCAATCTTATAAACAAATATTTGATTACAAACAAATGTTAGTTTTTTATCGCAACTTTTCTTAATTTCTTACCTGCATATATATTCATTATTATATCTAAAAATGTATTTAGTGGAATAAATAATTCTTTAATTAAATTTAGAAAATAGTGAAATGCAGAAAAAATCGTTTTATAATTTAAAATTTTATTAAAATCGTACAAGTAATTTTATTCTTTATTTCTTTTTCTCAAATTTAGCATTTCTATACATTTTTTTCTCAACAACATTTCGATGCATCCCTTCATTTTTTTTTTTATCATATCACTTTAAGAATTTTCGCCACCATCTTGGCCAATAAATACCACAGTAATATGCTATATTAAGTGTCCGGCAGACAAAAGCCAGCAGCTAGGAAAAAGAATATACAAAAAAAAATAACTGAAAAACAAAAACAAAACCGACTGACTTCAAGATACTTGCAGCCACTGTCCAGACCAACAGCAACAACAACAATAACAGCAACCAAAACAACAACAACAACGACAACAACAGCAAATAGCAAGCAGCCAACAGCAGGCAATCCAAAGTCAAAATGCTTCCCATACGGTTTATTTACACAAAACGTCCAAAGGGAGGGGCGAGCGAGACAGGGAACTGTGCGGGGACCAGTCCCAGGTGCTGGCAGACAAACAGGCGTACAATAACCAGCAGATAAACAGACAAACAGGCAGCAACAACAACAAACGACAACAACAACAACAAACAGCTAGCTCTGCAACCATTTTGGAATAATAATGCACAAAAACAAACTGACTGAAGAGGTTAACATAATGTAAATGCCAGCAGCAAAGGGAGAGGGGAGATCAACACCAGGCACCAGTCAGCCTTAGCAGGCGTCGCTGCCGTGTGAGAGAGCGAGCTGGCGCACACAGTCAAACCGGTTGGACGCAACCAGCCAATCACAGGGCAGCAACACCAGAGGCGTTGACTGAGCGAGCGACTGCGCAGCAGCTGCAGCCGCAGCAGAGGCAGGCAGCGCTGCGCTCAACGGTCTCTGGAAATAGTTGGTCCAGTTGGACTTCTACAGCGCGTACGTGCGGGTGCCACCGAAAGAGTGCTGCTGAGAGCTGTGACGTTTAGTGCCGTCGCGCGCGTGTGCTAAAAGCAAATACATATGACAAATACTTGCTCATACACACACACACACACGTACACATGCATATGTGTCTGTCTGTATATATATGTGTAATTTAATTAACTTGCATTTTGCATTCAGTGCCAATTAATGCATAATTGCATTACAATTACAATTCCAATTACTATTGTTAATTTTTGAAGTGAAAGCTAATGCGTTATGCTGCCCCGTGCCAAATTCGCCACAAATTAACAGCAAGCAAAAATCATAAAATTAAAACAAACACAACTAGAATCGCTGCAGATGGAAAGCAACGCATTTGTCAGCAGCCATTTGCCATCACAAGCGCTTGTTGTACTATCGGAGGCCGCTTCCGGTTTGCATGAGGCACTGCGTGGCCAACGTCCGTTTCCAGCAAGAGTAAGTAAACATTGCCAATCAGCCCAATCCAATCAGCCAACGGCTGCGGATCTAAGCCGTCTGCGATCGACGTGCGCTGCCGCTGCCGCCGCCGCTGCCGCCACGGCGACATATTTATGACAAATCATAAACTCAACGGCGATGCCAATGCCTTGCCAGTGGCCTCTGCTAGCAGCAGCAGTTGTAGTAGTAGCAGTAGTAGTTGTAGTAGTAGTAGTAGTCGCAGCCCCAAAAACCTGGCCGATCCACACACAAATGCTATAAATCAGCAGCACACCGGGCACCGACAACTGCACACAGAACAATGCGCATTATAAAACAACCAAAAAAAAAACCAAATACAACTAAACGAAATACACTGAGAAATATGAAGAGAAGAGATATTGAATATATATAAAATGAATATATAAAAAATATACATATGTATATGATAGAACTTGAATTTCTATATTATATTTTATGCATTATAGATATTCGAGTTAAACTTTCTATATATTCCAGAAAAGCAGTTAAGTCACTTAGTCTAATTATTCACGGTTAAAGTTCTTAGACTTACATAAACTTACAATCTAATATAAAGATTCTTCAATTTAGTTGTATCTTATTATAATACCTAACCTATCAACCCATATTATATAAAAATATATAATATATATTACAAATATTTTTGCAATATTTTGCATTTTCTAGTTCATCCATAATTAACTTGAGATCATTTCAAAAATGTTGCTAGAAATATAAAGAAAAGTATTAAGAACTATGAGAACTCTTTATGTATAAGAGTATCTCTCCCTAATTTCTATTCAATTTATATACATATATGCATATGTGTTATCAAAATACATCAACAGCTGATCTTGTTTTTTCTTAGTGTAAAGCGCTATGAGAGTCGCCTTTGAAGACAATCGAAAGTCGACAGTCAGTCAGTTTTCAGATTCAGATTCAGTTTCAGCTTCAGTTTCCAGAGTCGCATTCCTCGATCGACGAATGCGTTTGCAAACGCCCCATTGTGTGTAGATTTTTGCGATGAACAGATTTATGATAGCTACCAGCTACCAGCTACAGCTCTCCATGCCCAGCTTCCAGGTTTAGTGGATGCTGCGATTATTGTTTTTGAGAGCTGCGATCTCCGCGATCTGCTCGATCTCCGCTAGCTCCTCGTTCTCCTCGATCTCCACGAGCCACTCACACTGCGATTGCCCCCGCCTGTCTGTCATCATTGTAAACATGAGCAATGATCTTGACGCTGATGCTACAAATGATGAAGAACTCGAGATCGAAGATGAGCGCTCAGTCAGTCAGCCGGCTTGCACGAATTCAGAATAACTTGCTGGCCAACTAACTTAACTGGTTGCCAGGCATTTGGCATTGGAATCGAGCCGCTGCATAGCATTGAGTAGCGTTAAGATATGTTAAACATGACAACAATATGTCCCCAACTTGTAGATGACAGTTCGGATAATATGGGAGGGCTCACGTAGATGATCACAGGCAGAAAGTGAGAAGCATTCGATATTTATAGAACTCTTGAGGAACTCTACAAAGATCAACCTAGTCAACCAACGCTCTCTCTTTATTCCCAATTGGAAAATCTAATCAGAATCCAATCCATTGCTCTTGAATACTCCAACTAGCTGCTCAAGCAGTTCTATTTTTCTCTCTTTCTCTCACTTTCTAATAGTTTTTCTGCGCCGTTTCCCATTATTCATAGCCCGAACAATAAAAATTAATAAAAACAAACCAGGCAAGCATATTAAATGCAATGTCAAATGGTTTAATGTGGATCTGGTTTTACTTTACTCGCTCACAATTTAACCACCCGAGCAAAAGGAACAACAACAACAACAACAACAAATTATTATACAACACACCATAACAATTCTGGTAACCACAACAACAAAGATAAACAGACTGACCCCCACACAAAAAAGATGGCAGTCCCAGACCCAGACCAGAGCCAGAGCCAGAGTCAGACCATGAGCAACCCCGAGCATGAAAAGTTATGAGAGCCAGAGCTGGTATAACATATGAAATGCAATACTTTATTTTTTGCACTTATTACACTCGCTACATAGGTGTTTCTGCACGCCTGTGTATGTGTGCTTCTGTGTGTGTGTGTGAGTGCGCTTAATTTCATTTACAGCAATTCATCAGGGCGCAGCTCGACAATTGCACAGGCAACGAGGCATGTAACAAGAGGTAATCATATAGGGATAACTGGTTAGGGCAGACCTAGCCTTTGAGTAGGGAATAAAGTGAAAATAGAGAGCAGACTTTAACTAGGGTGTACGGCTATAGAATCAGCTCCTGCTCCTGCATGAACTCTATGAACATGTAGAGCAAATTAAAAGAACTTGAGTGCCTGAAATTCCATAATAAAAATGCATTTAAAAAATATAAAAGTATATCTTTTGGAAAATTAAATTTAAAAAAATTATAAGTAAATAAATTATAAATATGTACGTTTATAACTCTAAATATTATTAAAAATGCATATTTAAAAAAGTGTAATGTTAAAAATTATAAATAAATAAATTATAAATACTTATAATTTTAAATATATATATATATATATATATATATATATATA